GTTTGATGAAGTATCTGAGGATAAGAAGACAATAGTAATGACAGGGAGGATGAGCATTGTGGGTTGTGACTAGAAAAACCAAGTCTGTGCAGATAAAAGTATTTACAGGAAGGCATCAGACCCCAGCCCTTCTCACCAAACTTGTGACTGAAGGCCACGCTGTCACATGCGTAACAATGCCACGCCCAGCTGCACCCTGCACAAAGATTTTCCAGCTAATGGACCACAATCTGTGTACCTGCAGCCTGAGAGCGATTGTTACTGGGGGCCAGGTTAATTACGCAATTAACCCTTCACACTGCCACCACCTCCTTTTTGTACAGAGAAAGAAGAAACTTGGCAATATTAGCAATAACACTATGATGTTTGAATAATCGTTTGTATACACAATGTCACCGCAGACAGATGTATGCAGACGTTTAAAACACACAGTAGTGCTCTTCAGAGGCAGGGATTCTTAGTTTGCATTAAAGAGCTTTAGAAACAGTTCAACACTTTCAGAAAGTAAGATTTATTACTAAAAGGTCAAAAGGGTGCAATAAAAATATTTACAGAAAAAGATGTAGCCAATATATATATATAAATATACAGAGAGCAATAACACAGCAAAAAGATAACAGAAAGAAGTTTATAGAGATAAAGTACTTGCCGTCAGCCTTGGTTTAGCAGATCAAGTTTCCTGAGCAAAAAGGCCTTTATCTCCCAAAGTTGGTTCCGATGTTAAAAGGGAGAATTCTTCAACTTAGCTCAACTCAGCTCAGCTTAGTTTAGCTTTTCTAGGAACTCAGCAGGGTGTCTCCCTGAAGCAGAGAACCAATCGCCTCATTTGGGCGGGTGTTGCAGGCAAAGACCCAAGCTAGAACCAAAATCCCTCTCAAGTTGATACCAGGGCAATAACTTTCCCTGGATACATGTAACATTCTATCCACGGGTAGATTAATATGCAGAATCACCTGCCGAATATCTAGATAGGAAATATGACATACCTGCTGGGACAGTTAAGGAGATATCTTTTTCTGCTCTCCTGTAGATGTCAGTTAGGGGGTGTAATATATCAGACGACTTGTATTAAAGTGACTGGTCTGAATATATGCCAGTTTTTTATTTAAGTCTTTCATATTCCAAGATATGAAATCATAAGTGAAAATGAATTTTGAATGTGATTTCTGTTTTGCGGCTTATCTGGAATGTCTTTGAAGCCCAGCAAAGGACTGGTTTATGGTTTTACGATCCCATTCCAAGCAAGAGTCTCGCAGACTCGCAGACATACGGGGGGGGGGGGGGGGCAGGCTAATTGGGGTTTATAACCATGACGCCCTCCCAAGGTGTTTGCTGCCTGTGATCTCTGCATCAGACAGACCACATATCACTCAACAGAGAGGGAGGGGGGATTTGGAGGCTGAGAGAGATACAAGATGGAGGATCCTTAGCAAGATGGAGGACCGCGTCCATCTTTGTATGCTCAATTGCTACATCATCCATTGCTAGTTCACTTGTAGTATAATTATAGTACTCTTTGAAATTATGCACTTTGCATATAATACATAATTGACTATGTCATACATTGATCACTGAGCTCTACTTAACTGTAGGTTTTCAAGTGTGGTTCAATGTTGGAGTTACACACAGCAAACCAGTGCCATAAAAACACAGTGTCGGAGACAAACAATAAGGTCAATACCAATAGCTAGTGACAAAACATGATATGTCAGAAGAAAGGATGATCTGCATCAGAGCCAATTAAAACAGGTATGCTGCAGGAAAACATGTTATATTCATGCAGCAATGTGATAAGTTTTACTTATGAATGCAAACTCCACACAGATGGTTCTTTGGTCAGAAATGAACCTAAGATCCCCCACACTGCAATCATCAGTGATATTGACTTTATTATTTTGCTTTCTCATTTGGCATATATACAAGCAAACCACATGGAATACTGTAGATTCCTACTTACATACTGTAACTTACCTATTACAGTCAGGGTGCCAGTAACTTCAGCAGAGCCAAAGTTGTTTGTGATCTCACAGATATAAGTTCCACTGTCTTCCAGCTGCAGATCTGTCATACTCAGTCCTGTGCTACGTTCGCTCCGGCGGCTGTCAGAAGGCACTGGGCGGCCATCTTTAATCCAACGGGAGGCTAAGTTTGGATATCCTGAGGCAACGCATGGCAGCTGTACCTTATCCCCCACGAAGACCTCCTGGGATTGAAATCCATCAAGAAGAATGGGGACAGATTCTGCAGGGTCTAGGGTACAAATAAACAGGAAAATACAAAAACCGTGACTGCCAGCAATCACAAAAAATAAAAAGTGTGTATGGACCAGGGGCGGACTGACAACTCACGGGGCCCCCGGGCAATTGGGGATCATGGGGCTCCTGTGTCCTTGCCCAAACTCAAAAAAGCCTATGAAAAAGGTACCAGGGGCATCTCATGGGGCCCCCTACTGACCCCGGGCCCTCGAAGTTTCCAAATGGTCAGTCCGCCCTTGGTATGGACACAGGTGATTTAGTATTTTACATACTAGCTATCTGCATAGTAGTACAGTACTTAAAGTGGAATTTCACTTACTCAATGAACATTGACTATTTTTAATCCTTATCCCGCTAGCATTAGTAAATAGATAGGAAAGTATATCACATTTACTTGTTTTAAACTTTTTTTTTTACAATTCTTCAGTTACTTCCAAGTTTCCAGGCCTAGGCAAACAATGTCATACATCCCAGGAGTCTTCAGAAGGGCAGTAGATGTATTCCAGGAAGTAAATGTTACATGAATCATCTGTCCCTACTCAAGATGACCATGACCAGAAGTGTTCGTGGGTGTTTTTCAAAGTGATTTCTTAGCAGAATAAAGCATGGAGACATGGATGGATGGGAGAGTTTTCTTACAATATTAAAAACAAATTAGATAGCATTTTGGTTTGCGGTGCTCAGATGCAGGGTAGTTCCTCTTTAATGTGAAAACACTGCTTAAAAAGCAAAGGGGGGTACTGCAGCAAAAGCTGCTTTTTTTCTTTGTTACGGTTTAATTTATTGTTAAAGTGGACTTTTCAGTAACTGTAAAAGTCAGCATGGATAGATTCCTGATATGTCACAATGATAAGTCACAATATAGGTAACAGTAAATATTTATCACTATAAGCAGGCATTCAAATCATTTTATGAGACTTTTCCTATGCTGAGATAATATAATTTAGTCTGCAACAGGAGGAAGCATTTCCTCAATCTCCTCTCTCCCTGTGATTAGACTGAAATGTTGTCATTTTGTAGCAAGTCACAAAATCAGAGAGTGCAGAAAGGGCTGATTTGTATCAAACATTTATCAAAACAATCAAGAAATATACAGTTATCAGGATTTACTTGATTGAGCCATCTCTGAGCCAGGACCACAGACCATGAAATTAGATGCTGCTGACCTGTTGAACATAAATGGTGGATGGGCCATTGTCAGGGGGAGTACTGTAAGCTTTGTAATTGGCAGTAAATATCTGTGTGTTATATATACACCATTTAAACAAAACCCCAGCACCCCATTTGTGTCTCAAAGTCAGGTGCCTAAACGTCTGTTCTTGCACTGGGCTTTACATCTATGCACATATTTCTGGGAAGAGTGATGTTTTGCCTGAGAGTATGTACACAGTTATGTCAGCATAAAGGCAATGGCGGGGGACACAACCATAAACAGGTAAGGGCACCGAGAAGGTACACTGAGGTGCCATTTCCAATAATGGCACCGCAGGGCTCCAATCCACATGTGCTATTGCAATGCCCTGGTGTGAATGGGCTCTCACTGACCATCAAAGTCTAAGAAGAAGGGGAGTGGAGTTAATCTGATGAACACAATGCATTGGAAGGGGTGGGGGAATCTTCCTCCTATTAATCACTAATGCCTACTCTTTGCTGACACTTCACATTTTTGCCTCTCACAGACCAGCAGTTAGAATTATGTTGCATTCTCCTGATCTTTGCACTGTGTATCTCATGCTTTGTGTTCTACTCCTGGCCTCTGCATTCGAAAGGCTAAGTCAGGGTCGGTACGCGTGCCGGAGGTGGCACTCAGCCGCATTTAGGATGGCACATGAAGGGAAACCTGGGAGACCCATCTCCTGCACAACAAAACCAGCCAACGGATGTGATTCTACAGTATCTCATAGAAGTGAGTACACCACTCACATTTTTGAAAATATTTTATTATACCTTTTCATGTGACAACACTGAAGAAATGACACTTTCCTACAATGTAAAGTAATGAGTGTACAGCTTGTATAACAGTGTAAATTTGCTGTCCCGTCAAAATAACTCAACACACAGCCATTAATGTCTAAACCGCTAACAAACGTGAGTACACCCCTAAGTGAAAATGTCCAAATTGGGCCTAATTATCCATTTTGCGTCCCCCCGGTGTCATGTGACTCATTTGTGTTACAAGGTCTCAGGTGTGAATGGGGGAGTAGGTGTGTTAAATTTGGTGTTATCGCTCTCACTCTCTCATACTGGTCACTGCAAGTTCAGCATGGCACCCCATGGCAAAGAACTCTCTGAGGATCTGAAAAAAAGAATTGTTGCTCTACATAAAGATGGCCTAGGCTATAAGAAGATTGCCAAGACCCTGAAACTGAACTGCAGCATGGTGACCAAGACCATACAGTGGTTTAACAGGACAGGTTCCTCTCAGAACAGGCCTCGCCATGGTCGACCAAAGAAGTTGAGTGCAAGTGCTCAGCATCATATCCAGAGGTTGTCTTTGGGAAATAGGCGTATGAGTGCCAGCATTGCTGCAGACGTTGAAGGGGTTGGGGGTCAGCCTGTCAGTGCTCAGACTATACACCGCACAACACTGCATCAAATTGGTCTGCATGGCTGTCGTCCCAGAAGGAAGCCTCTTCTAAAGATGATGCACAAGAAAGCCCACAAACAGTTTGCTGAAGACAAGCAGACTAAGGACATGGATTACTGGAACCATGTCCTGTTGTTGTCTGATGAGATCAAGATAAACCTATTTGGTTCAGATGGTGTCAAGCAGGGGCAGACTGACCATTTGGAAACTCGGGCACTGCCCGAGGGCCCGGGGTCAGTAGGGGGCCCCATGAGATGCCCCTGGTACCTTTTTCATAGGCTTTTTTGAGTTTGGGCAAGGACACACAGGGGCCCCATGATCCCCTATTGCCCGGGGGGCCCCATGAGTTGTCAGTCCGCCCCTGGTGTCAAGCGTTTGTGGTGGCAACCAGGTGAGGAGTACAAAGACAAGTGTGTCTTGCCTACAGTCAAGCATAGTGGTGGGACTGTCATGGTCTGGAGCTGCATGAGTGCTGCCGGCACAGGGGAGCTACAGTTCATTGAGGGAACCATGAATGTCAACATGTACTGTGACATACTGAAGCAGAACATGATCCCCTCCCTTCAGAGACTGGGCCGCAGGGCAGTATTCCAACATGATGATGACCCCAACACACCTCCAAGACGACCACTGCCTTGCTAAAGAAGCTGCGGGTAAAGGTGATGGACTGGCCAAGCATGTCTCCAGACCTAAACACTATTGAGCATCTGTGGGGCATCCTCAAATGGAAGGTGGAGGAGCGCAAGGTCTCTAACATCCACCAGCTCCGTAATGTCGTCATGGAGGAGTGGAAGAGGAATCCAGTGACAAGCTGGTAAAGCTCTGGTGAACTCCATGCCCCAAAGGGTTAAGGCAGTGCTGGAAAATAATGGTGGCCACCCAAAATATTGACACTAAGGCCCAATTTGGACATTTTCACTTAGGGGTGTACTCACTTTTGTTGCCAGCGGTTTAGACATTAATGGCTGTGTGTTGATTTATTTTATTTTGAGGGGACAGCAAATTTACACTGTTATACAAGCTGCACACTCACATTGTAGCAAAGTGTCATTTCTTTAGTGTTGTCACATGAAAAGGTATAATAAAATATTTCCAAAAATGTGAGGGGTGTACTCACTCCTATGAGATACTGTAGAACACATCCGTTGGCTGGTTTTGTTGTGCAGGAGATGGGTCTCCCAGGTTTCCCTTCATGTGCCATCATAAATGCGGCTGAGTGCCACCTCTGGCACGCATGCCAACCCCTGACTTAGCCTTTCGAATGCAGAGGCCAGGAGTGGAACACAAAGCATGAGATACACAGTGCAAAGATCAGGAGAATGCAACATAATTCTATCTGCTGATCTGTGAGAGGCAAAAATGTGATGGTGTCAGCAAAGAGTAGGCATTAGTGATTAATAGAGGAAGATTCCCCCACCCCTTCCAATGCATTATGTTCATCAGATTAACTCCACTCCCCTTCTTCTTAGACTTTGATGGTCAGTGAGAGCCCATTTGTGTGTTGAGTTATTTTGAGGGGACAGCACATTTACACTGTTATACAAGCTGTACACTCACTACTTTACATTGTAGCAAAGTATAATTTTTTCAGTGTTGTCACATGAAAAGATATAATAAAATATTTACAAAAATGTGAGGGGTGTACGCACTTCTGTGAGATACTATATTAATAGAAAACAGCACTGATGGCTCCCGCCAGCCTAATTCTTGCCCCTGCCTACATGAATAGAAAACAGCAAGGAGGCTTTCCGCTGGTGACGGTTCCAACCCACCCACTTCAGCTCTGGCCCCCCCGGGATGGCTCCCGCTGGCCTCAGTTCCCACCCCCTGCTTTACCTCCCGCTCACCTGCATAGAAAACAGCAGGGAATGCCTTCTGCTGGCCGCAGTTCCCACCTGCCCACTTCTTCTCCGGCCCACCCACTTCAGCAATGCAAATGGCTCCCACTGGCCACGGTTCCTGCCGCCCTCTTCAGCTCCCACATACGTCGCTCTGCCACACTGAGCTTGAAGCAGTGTGGAGACCTGCACCCCAGGCTGCCTGCTCTGGCTTATGACAGGTAATTACAGGACTGCAGCACTCTTTAGCCTGAGCCTTCCTGTCAGCATGCCTGCTCACGCCCTAAGGGACATTTCTCTTGCTTTGCAGCAGCATTAAAGATGACCTGTGGTAGCTGATGTATCTGTTCTAGTTTTGAGACACAACTACAGTATCTATTTGATCAGCTGTTGGGAACTACTACTTTAGAACAGGGTTCAGAAACTACTGCTTAGAGCAGTGGTTCTCAACCTTCCTAATGCCGTGACCCTTTAATACAGTTCCTCATGTTGTGGTGACCCCCAACCATAAAATTATTTACCCAGTAATTATAATTCATGAGTGTCGTTTTACCTTCAATACTGCTGCTTTCAACACAGTAGCTGCTTTTAACAGAGTAGCTGCTTTCAACACAGCAGCTGCTTTCTACAAAGTAGCTGCTCTTACACATTGGAAATATGTGTTTTCTGATGGTCTTAGGGGACCCCTGTGAAGGGTCATTCGACCCCCAAAGGGGTCGCGACCCACAGGTTGAGAACCACTGGCTTAGAGCCAATAGAAGTTCCAAAGTAGCAGTTACCAAACCCTGTTATAAAGTAGTACTTCTTAACAGAAGGAACTACTACTTTAGAACAGGGTTTGAAAACTACTACTTAAGAACTCTTTGGTAACTAATGCTTTTAGAAAACACTTACCAAAGGCTGATTCACTCCAAAACACAGTGCTGGAAAGGTGCATCCCGTGCACGTTTTCTGCACTGCATTCCAACATTCTGCCTTTACAGTCTGCATGTGGGTGCTTATATATTATTAATGACACCCCAAACACAGATTGCAGTGCACTACTTTTTGTGTGGTCTGGTGCATTTTGCATCCCAGTCAAATGAATGAACTGTCAAAACACACAGCATCGGAACACGTGAGAATCACATGGGAACCCACACATTCCGAAGAAATTCTGTGAGAACTAGTCCTACACTATTAAGTCCTACCTACATTTCCCGTGGGGGTATTGGGATATTATAGGTTCCTTTTTTTTTTTTGGAGCCTATAAGGAATTATTTTAAAAAATGCACATGTGCAGTAACCTAGCCCTATTAATAAGCACAAGAATTGTGGGGGAGTGGCCACTGTCACAGCTGCTGCTTTCATCCCCACAGCACCTGAAAATACAGCCTTTTTTTGTAGTATCCAGCTTTTAGCTTGGTTTAAATTTTGCATTAAGCAGAAGCCATACACACCACTTGTACTATTAATAGGGCTAAGCTACCGTACTTTTGCCTTTTTAAAAATAATTTTTTACAGGATCCAAAAAAAAAAAAGGAAGTCATAATGATCCCACTGAACATGCAGTCAGCAGTTAGCAATAGCTGTTCTAAAGTAGTAGTTACCAATAGTAACAATAAAAAACTTTTCCTGAAGTTCAGCTTTAATTTAAAAAAATGAGTGTGTCTAAAATCCAAAATTGCATCAATTGGAGCTGAATGGATTCTGAAGTTGCAGGAATTGGGGGTGATCTGAGGTCTAAAGGTGCAGAATTTGGGGGTCATTTGAGACCTGAAGGTGAAGAAATTGGGGCCGATCTGAGGTATTGGGCCTGATCTAATATCTGTTGGTGCAGAAATCGGTCCTGATCTGTAGTGTAAAGGGGCATGCAGTGAGGTTCATATGAGATTTGAAGGTGCAGAAACTGGGCCTTATCTGAAATCTGGAAGTGCAGAAATTTGACCTGATCTGAGTTCTGAGGTGCTGAAATTGGGCCTGATTTGAAGTGTGAAGGCGCATGCATTTGGACTCATATGGCATCTGAAGATGCAAAAATCTCGATCTCGAGGTGCAGAAATAGGGCCTGATCTCAGATCTAAATGTGCATAATTTGACCCTGATCTGAATTCTGAAAGTGCAGAAATTGGGTCTGATGTCACATGAGAAGATGCAGAAGTTGGGCCTGATCTGAGGTGTGAAGGTGAAGAAATTGGGGTTCACATGAGATCTGAATGTGTAGAAATTGGGCCTTATCTGAGGTGTGAATGTGTATTCATTATGGCTCATTTTACATCTGAAGGTGCAGAAATCTGAGGTTTGAAGGTGCAGAAATCTGGCCTGGTCTGAGGTTTGGAGGTGCAGAAATTTGGCCTGATCTGAAGTGTGAAGGTATAGAAATTGGGCCTTATCTAAGGTGTGAAGGTGCAGAAATTAGGCCTTATCAAAGGTGTGTAGGAGCATTTTCTGGGGCTCAAAAAAGATCTGAAGGTGCAGAAGTTGAGCGTGAGCTGAGGTGTGAAGGTGAAGGAATTGGGCCTGGTCTGAGGTGTGATGGTGCAGGAATTGGGGTAATCTGAGGTGTGAAGATGCAGAAATGGAGCTTGATCTGAAGTGTGAAGGTGCAATCATTGGATCTCATTTGGCACCTGAAGGTGCAGAAATTGGGCCTGGTTTGAGATGTGAAGGTGCATGCATTCAGACTCATATAATATCTGAAGATCTGGGATTTAGGCTGACCTGAGGTGTGAATGCGCAGAAACTGGCCCTGATCGGAGATATGAAGGTGCAGGAATTGGGGTGATCTGAGGTGTGAATGTGAAGGAAATGTGGTTTATCTGAAGTGTGAAGGTAAAGGAATCAGGGCTGATCTTACCTGTGAAGGTGCATGAACTGAGGCTCATAGGAGTTCTGAAGGATCAGAAAGTGGGCCCGATTTGTAGGCATTGGGCCTCATTAGAGATGTGAAGGTGCAGAAATTGGGCCTGGTGTGAGTGTGCAGAAATTGGGCCTTGTCTGAGGTGTGAAGATGGCTATATGTTGGGCCTGGTCTGAGGTGTGAAGGTGCACAAGTTGGGCCTGGTATGAGGTTTGAAGGTGCAGAAATTGAGGCTGTCCTGTCCTGAGGTATAAAGGCGTATGCATTGGGGCTCACAAGAGAGCTGAATGTATATGATTTGAGCTGATCCGAGATGTGAAGGTCAAGACACTGGTAAAGGTAGCCTTGGCAATGTTATCTGCATTTGGATCTATTTATATGTGTGTTCATTTCTTATAATTCAAGTAGTTTACAACATTTACTTTGTAAAAATTCCTTTTCGTGATTGAGTGTGAAATTGACATTTATTTTTTTTTATGTAGCTTGCACTCTCAATTTCTTTGAAAACATTCTTTGGCACGCTATGCTCAAAAGGTTGCCTACCCCTTGGCTAAATTGTACATTGCATACTGCTAATGGCTAAAATGTATATGCTCTCATTTATTTTAAAGAGTCGTGACCTCTGCACTTTCTATGCTGTGCTGTAAATTGCATACTCCTGACCACAGTGTTTATTGTTTTAACAGTTG